TGTCAATGTTTTAATACGTTTTGTTTATTTTAATTTTTCTTGTTTCTTTTGTTGATGTTTTTAATAAAGAAATCGCCCCTGAGGAAGCTAAGAAAGTTAGCGAAACGTCGGGCTGTAATGTGAAGAAAGCTTTTTCTTGCACTCAACCATACTAGGTCAATTACCCTAGAATCCAAAAGTTTAAATAACCAAAATTGACCATCAACTCAGAATAAAATTGAGTAAAATATTACTATTTATGGGTACCAAGAGAAGGTTCGTAAACAATGCTTTCCCTATACACAAAATGTTATGTCTTAGGTGTAAGGCTGCCACTTATTATCGATTCTACACACTTTATCTAAATCATCGCAAAAAGATATCAAATGAAAGGTATTGTTGAGAACTTAGGTCAGAAAATGTTTTCCATCAGGGTTGCCACGCTTTCTTGTAATAAAAATTTTTATTTTGTTAATCTCGATCAACATTTTTTTTATCTATACATAGTACACACGCTCAAGATATGTACCATTCATTCCAGAGTATTTCGCAATAGGGTTGCCACCTAAATTTTAGAGTAAGGAATTTACTTAATAAATATGGAAATCCGATTTTTTGGTTTATTTCCAAAATTTTTTTTTAAGCTATCCAAATCTTGAAAACTTTAAAAAGTATATGCACTCCGGGCAAAGCGCGGTACTAATTATTAAAGTGTATAACTTTCATTATCAAATATTAACAATTTATATAATTCAATTTCTCTGTCATATTTCGAAGCCAAAATGTGTAGACATACATACGTATTTTAATTTTAACTTTTATCTCCTTTATCCATACCTTTACCGATGATATTATAGGCCAAAAATCACACAGATAGCCGATTTAGCAGCGCATGTTCACAACTAGAAACTTATCCTGCACCCGGATTCCAACATTCGCTATCGCTAAAACTCCAACGCGAAAAAGTGCTAAATGAATTTTAACAATTATCAGCGATTTTCGCGATTCTATCATGAAAATGTAACTCTAAAAATCGCCATTTTTGGCTCATTTTTTGACAAATTTTAGCGGTGTACAAAATGAACCCGGATAAAGTGAGTGAACTGTTTTTGACAGCTCAAACAGCTAAAATGGCGATTCCAGCGTTTTTTCCATCGCAAAAAATACTTATTTTTCGCTTAAAAGCCGGCAAATTTGACGAGGACAAATATTCGGTGCTAAAAAAGTAAATCAACAAAAAGTAGATAATATTTAGATTGTTGTTTGTTTAAAATACTCGATTAAATAAACATTGTTGAAATTCATATTAAAAATGGAAAACTGCAACAGTACAAGGGTGACAAATGAGCAAAAATATATGCTTGTTCGATATTTGGAAGAACACAGGGAATTTGCTCATGACAGGTATGGAAAAGATTTTCTCGTAAATGAAATCGTTTAAGTTCTCTCTTTTTATTTAAATTCGTGAATGACACCGGCAAACTAAACGCTTAACTAAACGCGTGTGGAGGAGCCATTAAAGACGGTGAAGGATGGAAACAGAAAAAAGGCAACCAACTATTTTTGATGCGACCACCATTAAAAACATCCTTTTCACTGTCTTTAATATTTAAACATTATTGTTGGATAGGAACGAATTTTCATTCCACGCGGTAAATACGAAAATCGTGTACAAAGAAGTTTTCGTGCTCGTATACGAGAGTCATTAAAAAGCCGCGAAAAATTATTAGAATTCCGCGCAAAATTGGTGCTTCAAGTTAATTTATACGGGCTCATTGCTATGGAGAAGTGAGCAAAAAATGCACAATTTTGGTTTTATTTTGCATAATATCTATTTCCAAAGAAAACGTTTAAATTAGGGTCGTTATAAGACATAGGCCAGCTACACCTGTCGAGGTTGAGCAGAGTAGCCGCAACAGTGGAACCCTCATCAGTGAAACCAAGTGAGAATATTTGGAATGAATGTATTAATATTACTTACATATGTATGTATTTGTTTTATAATATACAGAATACATAATATACATGGTCGGCTAAAGACTACTTTAAATGAATACATGCTCAGATAGTACATATATAAATACCTCGCATATGCGGAATCCAATACCATGTCATGTACGTACAATACAAAAGGGATTTGGTTATTATTTTTCCAATACTGTTTACTTTATTAATGTAAGTTAAGACTAATAATAATAATCTTACAGCAAGTAGGTTCAAGGGAAATACCACTCCACAGTTTTGAAAAAAATCGGTTTTTTGCGCTTTTGTAAAATTTATTTACCATCGTATACGCGGTACTGCGTTTGGCGTATACGAGGTAATACAGTCCAATTTTTAATTGCNGGGTGACAAATGAGCAAAAATATATGCTTGTTCGATATTTGGAAGAACACAGGGAATTTGCTCATGACAGGTATGGAAAAGATTTTCTCGTAAATGAAATCGTTTAAGTTCTCTCTTTTTATTTAAATTCGTGAATGACACCGGCAAACTAAACGCTTNTAATATTTACGAAGATATTAACATACATATGCACCTAATACGTTAAGCCTGATTTTCTAAAATATGTATATATATATATGAATGTATTTCATTTATTTTCAGCCTTAAAAGGATTTACTTTTCAAAAATTCAAATAAAAATTGATTTTCTTTGGGNGAAAACTGCAACAGTACAAGGGTGACAAATGAGCAAAAATATATGCTTGTTCGATATTTGGAAGAACACAGGGAATTTGCTCATGACAGGTATGGAAAAGATTTTCTCGTAAATGAAATCGTTTAAGTTCTCTCTTTTTATTTAAATTCGTGAATGACACCGGCAAACTAAACGCTTAACTAAACGCGTGTGGAGGAGCCATTAAAGACGGTGAAGGATGGAAACAGAAAAAAGGCAACCAACTATTTTTGATGCGACCACCATTAAAAACATCCTTTTCACTGTCTTTAATATTTAAACATTATTGTTGGATAGGAACGAATTTTCATTCCACGCGGTAAATACGAAAATCGTGTACAAAGAAGTTTTCGTGCTCGTATACGAGAGTCATTAAAAAGCCGCGAAAAATTATTAGAATTCCGCGCAAAATTGGTGCTTCAAGTTAATTTATACGGGCTCATTGCTATGGAGAAGTGAGCAAAAAATGCACAATTTTGGTTTTATTTTGCATAATATCTATTTCCAAAGAAAACGTTTAAATTAGGGTCGTTATAAGACATAGGCCAGCTACACCTGTCGAGGTTGAGCAGAGTAGCCGCAACAGTGGAACCCTCATCAGTGAAACCAAGTGAGAATATTTGGAATGAATGTATTAATATTACTTACATATGTATGTATTTGTTTTATAATATACAGAATACATAATATACATGGTCGGCTAAAGACTACTTTAAATGAATACATGCTCAGATAGTACATATATAAATACCTCGCATATGCGGAATCCAATACCATGTCATGTACGTACAATACAAAAGGGATTTGGTTATTATTTTTCCAATACTGTTTACTTTATTAATGTAAGTTAAGACTAATAATAATAATCTTACAGCAAGTAGGTTCAAGGGAAATACCACTCCACAGTTTTGAAAAAAATCGGTTTTTTGCGCTTTTGTAAAATTTATTTACCATCGTATACGCGGTACTGCGTTTGGCGTATACGAGGTAATACAGTCCAATTTTTAATTGCTTAATCTTAATTATAAAATATATACAATGTGGTTGTTCACGCTAATTAGGTATTTCATCGATTCTTACAAAGAAGTTGGAAACTGTGTACCTATGTACTTATTTAAAAACGTCATTTAGAATCAGGTAATATTTACGAAGATATTAACATACATATGCACCTAATACGTTAAGCCTGATTTTCTAAAATATGTATATATATATATGAATGTATTTCATTTATTTTCAGCCTTAAAAGGATTTACTTTTCAAAAATTCAAATAAAAATTGATTTTCTTTGGGTTGTAAAATTTGTCTATACGTACTATATAAAAGAATTTGTGATGACCTGAGTTGTTAATCTAATAAAAAAAGTGGTTATTTTTCCTTACATTTGGTAACTTTTTCGTCTAATCTTGGTTAGAAAGTTCTTTGAGCGGCGGCAACACTGGTCACTGGCTACCTACAAGTTTCTATCAAATTCTAAAGGGCAGTGTGAAAAATCTGATGGAAACTTTTGTGTATGATGCTTCATCTCCTTCTAACATATACGTTTTGGCATATTGCTAGACTGCTTACTCCCTTTGAGTTCAGCATTCAAATTCTATTCATCAGTGATGTAAATCTTCGACAATTATGAGTGATCAACCTTGATAGACGTGCAATCACATTTGATGTAATAACCGATCATTCATGACACATCAGTAGCCCGTTTCTGTAACTTTGCGATATAATAACGAATGATTTGTTATCGCAAGGCTCGTATCGAAATCGATATGAAAAGTGTTTCTGTAACTCAGAAAATTCACCTTGCGATATGATTGTGGTGAGTTGTTAACATATCGATGGTACGACTGATAGCTGAAATACAATGCCGGCGAACAGCGAACTCACCACAGCGAAATTCGCGCTGTCAAAATTAGAACACCCGCAAGCATATGAAATTGAACACAGCCAAAGCGAAATGCGAAGTTCGCTTGGCGGCGTTTCATGGCGATAGATTTATTTCTATCGCTCTGCTGGGCGATGACAGCTGTGCGTGCCAAAGGTGGCCGTATTTGTTTTGTGCTTTCAAAGTTTAAAAAGAAAACAACCTAAACACGATTTTTTTTTTGTTGTTTGAAAAATATAGTTGTGGATTCGTTAAATCTGGCTTGAAACAAATTATTTATAATAATCTTTCTTTGTTTTACATTTATATTTGTTATCATTTCCTCATTTCTAAATATGGTTTAGTTTTTTCTAAATATGGTCACCCAAATTATAAAGGCGACCAAATGGGATCAGCTGTTTTCGCTACCGCTCTAATTCTGTTTAAGTAGGCGAAATAGTTGGGCGAACGGTGACCGACAGCATCGCCCAATTCGGCGAAGTTTGCCGTTGGCCGGTATTGTATTTCAAGCATAAAATGGAACAAACCATCTGTCATTTCTAGCGCGAAATTGTCTTGTTTACGTTAAATAAAAGTTAAAAGTTGGAATATTAATTATAAATCCGCCATTTGTTTGTTTGTTTTTGATTAGTTAACAAGTAAGTGCAATTATACCCATATGTATGCACACATACATATTGTACATACATACATATAATTCTTAATCTTCTCTAGCTTAAAATTATGCTAGCAGCTGCATTAATTGCTTTGGCAACTGACCAAAGGAATATGTTACGAGCTCATAGACGCCATTTAAGGCATGCAACTGACCCATTTCATTTACCAGAAGCTCGGTTTGAAGAGCTTTTTCGCTTTAAAAAAGAAGCTGCAATTGCTCTATTGAATGAAATAAGTCCTTTTATGAAAAACGGAGAAAAAGGCACTAAGGATGACTGCAGCACTGCATTACTTTGCAACGGGATCGTTTTTAAGGGATGTTGGCCAGGATTTCGTTTGCTCTTTAAGTAAAACAATGGTTTGTCGTTCTATAAAAGAAGTAACCTACATCATAGAAGAAAAGTTGATGTGCAATTATATTAAATTTCCAACTACACTGGAGGACCAAAACAGAATTCGACGAAGGTAATTTATTTAAAATTTATAAGTCTGTACATTCTCATGTGCACGTGTTGGTCATTTCTTTTCCAGCTTTTTTTCTGCTACTGGTTTTCCTGGGTGCATTGGTGCTATTGATTGCACGCACATAAAGATTAAAAAGCCAAGGGCCGATGTTGAGAGCTGCTATATTAATAGAAAAGGATATTTTTCAAAAAATGTGGAATTATTATGCGACTACAACCTTAACATATTGGCTGGCAATGCACGTTTTGGTGGTAGTACCCATGATGCATTCATATGGGAAAACAGTAAATGCAAGGAGTTTTTGGAAAGACAATATAGTCGTGATGCAAATACAAGTTGGCTGATTGGAGGTTCTGGATATCCACTACAGCCATGGCTAATGACGCCGTTTCGAAATCCGGAAACGACTGGCCAAACCAATTTAAATTTTTGTCATATTCGGGCTCGAAACTGTGTGGAAAGACTAAATGGGGTCCTAAATAAAGGATTCGCTTGCTTGTCACATGAACGTGGAGTTCTAGTTAAACCAGATTATGTTGGTTCAATAATTAACGTTTGCTTAACTTTGCATAATTTCAGATTGAAGCATAACTATTCCCGACGTATGCCTAATTACAAATTCAAATAGGGAAGCAGACTTTTCCGAAGAAAATCGCTCAAACGACAATATTTTAAACCAAGGAAGAAGGGTTCGGGAGAGCATAGTACGAAATTATTTCAATTAATATTACATAACAAACCCAGTTTGTTAAAATGAATATCGCTAGGTGTTATTGGTGTCAAGGTACATACACTGTTGGCCATATCTTTTTGGACCAAACTCAAAATGATATTGTTGCCACTTCTAGTAAAACAAGTGGAAGTTCTTATTGACAAGAAACGTGAATTTCTTATTTAATAAAATGCGCAAGACCGTTTGTAAAAAAAATAAGATACTCAGTGCTAATTTGTATAACATGCGCTCGTTATATGAAAATAAAATTATAGTTTAAAATAACTAAAAACACGCTGTTATTACAATAACAACTGAAAAGTACAAAATAATTTATAGCTATACATAAAGACTGTAAAGTTAGTTGCAGCTTTTTGACGTAATTTTCAATGGAACATCTGTCAAAAGCGCAAAACGCAGTCAGAAGAAGAAAATATTTTAAATCAGCGCGATTTTTAGTCAATAAGAACTTCCACTTGTTTTACTAGAATTTCATAGCCGATGTACCTAGATACCCAAAATTTTTTGAAAAAGTTAGATTAAAAAGTTAAAAATTTTCATGAAAAATTGTTGACATTTCCTAAATTCTGCATAAAGTTTGTCAGTTTGACTGATGGGGTTTTGTTTAAAGCATGAACATTTTTATAAAAAATAACAAAAAAAAAAATCTAGCTATAAAAACAATACAAATATTTAACACAAATCACCATGCACTCACTTTTGGTCGCTAGGGTACATTTATAATAACAAATACATTCATTAATTATTCAAAACAGCTGGTTTCAATGATTCATCGATTGACTTAAGTCTTTGCAAAATATCGGTTAATAATTTTGTTTGCTTTTCATTAAATTCCATTTTTTTTCATCCTGCTCCTTAATATATTGTTTAATTTCAGCAAAGGAGCTGCTGAATCCATTATTTTTGGCTCGTGAGGTCGATGGCTTATGATAAGAAGCCCCATTTGGAGAGTCTATTAAAGACTTTACCTCGTTTTCTTCGTCCTCCTCATTGACTTCTCCTGCTTGCAACTATAACCATTATTTATAAGTAGAAACTACCTTTTGATAAACATATCGATGGTCCTCTGCAATAAAGACCCAATTCATAACCAAAAAAACCTTACTACTGAACAATAACAAATTCCCCTAATCCTTGTGTAATCCATGTCTTATCCTTACTAAATCTTTATGACTGCTTTATAAATATCTAGGAAGGATTAGGCGAGGATTAGAGACATGTGCCGCTTAACAGTAGTAAGTTTTTTTTTTAGTTTTGAGTTATGTCGTCTTGCAGAGGACCATCGGCACAAGCATATTACTTCTGTACAGCCAGCTTCTTTTGTTCTGCCATCTCCTTCCACTATTGCTGACGGGAAGAACTGTAGAATTTCACAGTCAATTTCTTCCAGCGGTGCAGGTCCTTCGCTCGCAGGCAAATTGCCGGTTCGGTTTTGAAACCTTTTAATTTCTGCCTGCTGTTTTTTTACTGCGCACTTCCAGTCGGCCCAACTACAAAAAATATATATTATGACTTCATCATACCTTTTTTAAAAAGCACTCATATATATACCTTTTTCCACTGCTCGGCTGTTTTGCAAGCTCCTCCAGCTGCGTTAAGCTCCACAGCAACGGCTTCCCACACATTGCGGCTGTGCGAGGCGCTATTTGGACCGCCAAAATTTCCCATGCCACCTTCTTGTTGTTTTTCATTAAATCCAGAGGTTTTACTTTCTGAATTTTTGTAATTTTCCCACTTCTAGCTTTTTTTCTGCAAGATGAAATTAATAAAATAAAGAAACTTAAGGTATTTATAAGCACACACTTCACTAATTTTGCTTTTTGCGCCAAATATCACTACACTTAGAGCTGGCGATATAAATATCGCAAGGTATATCGAAAATTCATTTACACCACACTTACCGAAACACTACCTTGCGATAACTATGCAGAAGGGTTGCATTTTGCGATATAATTCATATCGCAAAGATACAGAAACGGGCTACAGGTCTGACAGTTTTTCCTATCATTCCTGATGATCAGTTGATGTACAAATTCGTCAAGTCTGATCTCTCACGCATGATTAGAAAGCTATCTTTAATGACACAATTAATATCTACTTATTATTATTTTTATACCCAAGCGCACTTGTGCACAAGGGTATATTAATTTTGTTCACATGACGGTTGTTTGTAACAGCCAAAACGAATCGAGATAGATATAGACAAATGTATACATAAATGCTCAGAATGAATAGAGAAATCGATTAAGCCATGTCTGTCTGTCCGTCTGTCCGTCCGTCCGTGTACACGATAACTCGAGCAAAAATTGAGATATCTCAACGAAATTTGGTATGTAGGTTTCGGAAGAAATTGGTGCAGCGGTTACCAAGATATACACATGTAACCATAAGTGGG